CAAAACGGTATTTAATGCTATTATATCAAAATTGTTTTTGACATAATGTTTTACACGCTCAAAAAATATTTAAGAAAATATAACTCATTAAATAAGAAATATTCAAAACTGTTTTTTTTATTTATTTAAAAAATTTGCTTCTACAAAGGTTTGTTGCCGAACATAATAAATTAAAATACTGTAAAACTTATATGAAAAAAACGACAAAAATTAATTTACTGAATATATATTACATGATTAAGCAAACTAAACTGATTTAAATTGATTGATTTCAATTATTATATATTAATTTATATATTTATTTATCATATATTATTTGTTACAATATATATTTTATTTACACGTAATGTAATATTATTAACCAAATAAGGAAGCATAAGTTTTTTATATTACTAAAAAGTTAACATATGATTAACAAGTAGCAGCAAATTATTATACTGCAACCCCAAAAAGAGAGCAATTTGATGTTATCGTGGTAAGATCACATGTATTTAATACGTGTGCCGAAATGTTATAAAAAATAAGTTTTCAAAAACAATTTCAAATGCACTCTCACGAAGTGGGCGGAGTTTCCGTTCTTGTAAAGATATTCTTTGCCCTTAACTAATAAGCAGCTCAAATCACATGGTTGCCAAGACTAAAAATTCGTCTATTGTGAACGACTTTTGGAAGTACCTACGAAGTTTCCAGTTAACTGTTAATTATTCGTATGTCGTGTCGTCATTGTTCAAAACAAATACGTTTTTTTTTCTATTTATATCTTTATTCACAATCATGTAAAAAAAATATACTTAACAATAATTTGCAAAGAATTATTACTTATTTTCGAAACTTTAACTTTCAATTTTATTACGTGTTTTGCATATATAAGCCTAACAAAATTTCCAGAATTGCTATCAAAAGTAGTGCTTATTCTATTTGTTCTTTAGTGACACGCTTACAAAAGAAAAGGCCTCCCATTACTTGATAGAGATAAATTTAATTTAAAATATTACAAAGTTGGCAACTCTATTTTCTTGTCAAACTCAAAATCAAATACAATTTTATAAATAACTGTTTTGACAGTAAACATATGTAAAATTATTAAATTGTTAGTGCAAAATATTACTATGCACAGTAACAGCTTTAAAAACTTAAAGCTTTGAGTTTTCTAATAATTGCGCATTCATCAATCGTACGCCACTCACGGGGGAGCTTTACATTTCAAAATATTAATGAATTGTTGCTTTGGTGGAGAATTGTGTAAATAATTGAAAATGTCATTATTTGGGCAAGAATTTGAACAAATTTGGCCAATAGCCGGTGCAGCGATTAAACTTACTGAATTTGGTAAGAATTTATTAAAGAAGTGCGAAACTGTTACTAAGCCAGACACAAGTAATATTAATATTAAAGAAGTTATAAAAAGGTCATCCAATTTCCCAGTTGAGGTAAGCATTTTTATGCATATATTATATCTTTTGCATACGTTTTTACACATATAAATATTTTTGGCAGTTCGGTACTAACACTTGTCGCATCATCAGTCAACCAAAGGATCGTTATCCAATAATTGAACAACAAATTGCATCGGCTTATCCAGTAATACATGAACGCGTACTGAGTCTCTATATTGATTTCTTGGAGCACAAGTGTAAATACGGTAATACATTAAATATATTCTTTTATGATTCATACCATTATTTATCTAACCGCAATAATTTTTATTAATATTAAACTAAATAGTATAAAATATATTCTTAAACAATTTAAAACAATCCGAAAATAGCTGCAATTTCATAAGTGTTCGGAATTCACTAACAATTAAAATTACGATGAACGCCGGTTTACTTTGTTTTTATGTGACTATTTACATGATTTTTTTCTTTGTTAAACAGCGACAACAATACATATTCACACATTTTTGTTTATTTTTTTTTACTAAATACTTCCTCTCAAAGCTTGGCAGCTGTGTTTTGCACATATACAACACTATCGTGCAAAATAACGTACGTCAAAATTGCACAAACAAAAAATATTTTGTGTTGACATACTGACATAGAAAAACAATATATCATATATAGACCGTGTGCGAGTTCGAGTAAATTGAAGTAAAGCAAATTGAAATTTCCTAGGAATATTTCCACTGCATTTATGTAAATATTTATTTATTGCACTTATTTATTATTTTTATTTAAAAGTTTTTAAATTTATTTATTAAACATCATATAAAATTTTCACAATGATAATACCTAATTTACCTAATTTTTATCTAATTTACCCTACTCGAAATTCTGGTAAATACCAACATTCTCTGCCATACCGACATAATTTACTATTTCCCACAATTTACTATTTAATTTACTACCTTAATTTACTATTTCGAACTCGCACACGGCCATAATATCTATACTTTTTAACATCGCTTAGGAAAAAAAATATTTATTACTTTCAATATAAAAATAAATGTGTAAATAAATAATATAGAATATAGTATCAAATTTTGTATCAACCAGTGGCATATTAAAAGTCAAATAGCTAGTACTATGTTCAGACACACCTTAATTTCGCAAAAATCTTAATTATATCTTGGTTTCAGCGAAAATTCTTAAGGTTAGAAAGAAATTAAGGAAAACAGTCTTAATTTCGTTGAAACGAAGGCTAAAATTAAAGGATATTTCAAATACAACTATGCGAAAGCTAAATTTCAAGCAAAAGATAAAGTTGAGATAACGGAAAAGTGACATTTTTTTAAAATAAATATCAATGACAGTTGACTTTAATAAAACCGGGAAAATATGTTAAAAATATAGCAAATTTTGAAATTTGAATATAGAGAAAGAACTGTAACTGTTATTGATTTAAAGTAGATTGAAAAATAATAGTTCAGATACTTGAAATCCACTAAATTTAATAAAACTATTGAATGTCATTCTGTATAGTTATAAATAAATTTCAAAATTTCCCATGTACAAATGGTGTTTGGAGCATGTAATTTTTAACATTGGATTTGTAAACAAAAAACATATGATATCTTTAATTTGGGACAGTATAAACACTTTCAAAATTAACTTAATTTCATTTTTACAAAATTAAAAAAATTTGGCTGTCTGAACATAGTATAAAACATTTAGTTTTAGTATATTTCAATTATACTAAGAAATATTAGCCGTGTTTGAATGTCCGTCTGTTTGTTTTATCCCAAGCTACTCTCAGTTTTTGAGTTATTTGAAAAAAATTTTAATAAATTCTAATGACTCCAATACATAACACTCACGGGAAGCACTCAGAAAAGTTGAATATTTAAACTACGAAAAACGAATTGTATCACTCACTCTTTCAAAGAGTAAAGTTCTTAATCAACGTTAATCCAAAGTTGACAATGTCAATTTATGTATTATTTTAGAGTGGCGCCTCTAACTCTCCTCCATTAAGAAACATTAATTTATATCTGACATTTAAATAATGGCATTTTATGTGTTATTTTAGAGTGGCACCCCTAACTCCCCTTCATTATCAAACATTAACCTAAATCTACCATTTAAATGACAATATTGTAACCAAAAAGAGTTTGAAAATTAATTTACTATTTGTTAATATATTCTTGAGATTCCTTTTGCTAATCACATTTCCATGTTGAACAGAAATTCACAGTAAAAATAAAAAGAATATATAATTTAGATATATATATGTTTATGTTTTTAATATAATATTTCAAATATATTAGTTACAATGATATTCTCCAGATTGATAACTTTTTCCAGAACAAACAACCAGGACACAAAAGAAAGAGTGTCCATATACAAGGCATATCTTGGTCAGAATTGAAAAAGATACGGTTTTACTTAATAAAATAATAAGATTTATCTTTAAAACCCTTTTTTTTGGCAAATATCAATTTTGCTATGGTGTTCTAATAGTATGTTCCCATTGCCTTCATTAAAGCAGTGTATTTAATTTAGATCTCTTTAGGGAAATTTGAATACCCGTATAAAGAGCTTTCGTGCTTTTTAGCTTAATTAGGAATTAATCACGGAAAATTACACTAAAAATGTCGAATATAATGTATATATAATGTAGTATTGCTAAAGACCTTTTGCTAATTTCATTGTAATATTTTTCGTTCGGTGTGAAATTAATTTTAATTTCTTTAAAAATATAATTTTTAAGGAAATAATCGTGAACGTGACCTCTATACGAAACTAACACTCACAGATTTCGTACAACGTCTTCTCACTAAACGATGTGTCAGTTTTTATGGTAAAAATGACAAGTTTTTACTCCTAAGTCGTGAAAAAGGCTGTAGTGGTTTTATGGAAGTTGGAACTGATAAAGAAAAGCCACCACTAGTACTTTCAAATGTACTCAGTTTTGACGAAATTAAAGTAAGTGTATATATATGAATTTTCTGAACAAATAAAAAATGTTTCCATTTTCTTGGACTCAGTTATCTGCGCTCCTATCAGTTTCTTCACACTCTGAATTTATTAATGATGGTAATCGTAAAAATATGGGAATTATAGAAAAGGATAAAACTAAAATAGAGCGTGATGGTGTTGTTATTGGAATTATTGGTGCGCGCTTATCACGACGTGATGTAATGGAATTTCAAGATATTATCATATCCAAAACACAAAATACTAAAGAAAATGGTTATGGTGAAGCAATTGAAAATATTACTGACACACGTCCAGCAGATTACCGACGTATATGGAAGGAATTCTATGAGGAACCGGATTTTGTTTATACTAATATTGTTAAAGATGATCGAAGATTTGGGGATTCAGTAAGTAAAGATGACATTTTCGATAGCGTCTTAATGAAGAAACGTTATGCTATTTCATTTGATACACTACTCTTGGAAAGTGAAGCCAAAGCAGCCAAAGCAAATAAAAGTGCTTATATGCATGTTGTGGGTATTGGTTTGGGTGTTTGGAAAGTTTCTGGACAACAGGAGAAGATATTTTTAGACACATTTACCGAACGTTTAAAGGTTTTGATGGAAAAATTACCACATATTGCAGTGGTACATTTTTCATGGTTCCATCTGAATGAATGGGGCGAACTTAAGAATAATGGTTTTTTAGAATGTGAAAAACATCCTAATGGAGGTATTCAGACCTTTTTATCTAACCGTAATCCAGCTGACAAATTGGTATATAATTTCTTTTTCTAATTTTTTTTTATTTCTTTTAACGATTTTATTTAAATTTCACAGAGAACTCCTGAGCTAGAAAATATGTTAGTAATTGTTTCATATGCTTGGGATGGTAATGCTCTACCTGGTAACGAGTTTTGGATGGTATTATGTATATAGTATATAAATAAAAAATTATTTTTAAAGTATGTTTTGTTTTTAGAAAATGTTGAAATCTACTGGCGATTCGTCTACTGCCTGTAGCACATTGGTCACTGAACTGCACAATCCTTTCATCAATAAGGATATGGTCAATGGCAATAACTTACATATAGCATCTGAACACTTTGGCGTTTTGCATATTGCAGATTACGCAGCAAAAGTTTTAAATGAATAATGCAATATTTAATATATTTAACAATACGCAATATATGTGCAATATTTATATAAAATTGTTTTTTTTTTGTAATATAATATTTATTATTAATTTTATGTATTCCTAAATTATTTATTAAATAAATTTATCTTTGTGCAATAATTAGAAAAGAAAAAGATTTATGTAAACTAAATTATTTATAAAGACTATTTTAATACGAATTTTATTTTGAATAAACAATTTTTAATGTTTCAAAAATTTTATATTATTTTATTTATTTTATAACTTATTATAATGTATAAAAGTATATATGAATAAATAAACATAATCAAACCTTTGATACATTTTTTTTTCTTTTGTGTTATATTTTGCTTAGTTCTTGTTATTAGTTTTCCAAAAGACTAATCTTCTGGAAAACATAAAGTAAGGAACAAAAATAGATAACACGACATGCATAAGAGGTGCCATAGATATTCTGGAAAAAATAGAGTAAGAGTAGGAAGGTAGTGCAGATAAAGTGCCATTTAATGCCACAGGCGGCCAAAACTGTCTCAGAGTAGCTCTTATATTCAGTTATAAAATGTGTCCAGGGTTTCCTAAGAACAACGATATTTGGTCGTGAGAGACCAGCAATTCTTCCTAACAATAAATTCAGCAACTTATCAATACTTTTGCTGAATATGGTTTATGTCTCTTTATTAAACAAATTTCAAGATATTGCCATAAATAAAGACAAAGTTGTTAGTATATGGAATATAGCAAAAAAAAATAATACGAAATATTCATATATAACCAAAAATTTGTATATATTATATAATAATATATATAATAAAAATAATATAATATATGAATATAAATTATATATATGAAATTGCATTTTGACGTTAGTTATGACGGTAATGAATATTTTACTTAAAAGGAATTATTGTTTTTAATACAGAGGTTTCGAACACTAGTAGACCACAACAACCAAAAATTTTTATTTATTTATTATTTTCTTATTTATAGAATCTAATCTAAAAACGTAACAGGAAAGTCATGCTGATGTTACTTTAGGATTCATACAGCGAGACTATATATTTACTTTTAGTTTCTAAAAATTATTTACGATTATTTAAATACAAGAAATAATTCCAAAATCATTGACGATGGATATTTGGCAATACTCGAAACAGCTGTATGGTCAGCCATCATTCATGCCAGTACGTTCCCAGGGGTACATTGGGCCATAACGAACATTTTCCAACTGTCATAATTTTTTGCCAGGGTTTTAATTTCTCCAAAGGTTTTTCTTCTTGCTTGGATTTCTTTCTCTAGTATTCGCTTCCACGTTTGCTTGGGCCTATCAGGTCTTCTGCTTCCTTGAGGATTCCATGTTAATGCTTGTTTGCAGATTTCGTTTGGTGCCTACCTCAAAGTGTGCCCGATCCATTGCCATATACGCTTTTTGATTTCGTTTGCTATAGAAACTTGGCAGCATCTTGACCATAGTTCGGAATTTCTTATTTGTTATAGTCAGCCATAAATTCAATTAATTAAAATAATAAAAAAATGTTTGTTGTTATAGTTCACTACTGTTCGAAATCTCCCTGAAAAGTATATAGCATTTTATTTACAAGTTATATAAACAGCTAGTACTTTTTTTTTGTAATAAATTAATTTTAATAAAATTCTCTAAATAATTACAGGTAGTGAAATTGAAAAAAAATTGTATCAACAAATTGGGGTACCTGAACTGGTTCAAAGACTCTTAGCCCAACGTTGTGTTTGCTTTATAGGAGGTGGTGACAGCTTTTTATTGCTAAATAATATAAAAAGTTTCGATGGCTTTGAAGAAGTTGGTACAGTCAAGGAAAAGCTACCTTTAACTTTACAGAATGTATTGAGCTATGATGAAATCAAAGTACGAGTTTTAGCTTGTAAATTAAATAGATCTTATATTAATTTTAAATTCTTCAATAGCTCTCGGCACTTTTATCAGTTTCTTCACATTCCGAATTTATAAATAATGGAAATCGCAACAATAATGGTCGAGTCGAAATCGATAAGTCAAAAATAGTGCCATGTGGTGTAATAATTGGTTTAATAGGTGCACGTTTCGAACGTAAAAATGTTATGGAATGGCAAGATGTTATGATCACGCCTGAACAAAATACTTTTCAAAATGGTTATGGTTTACCCATGAATGAAGCACCTAAAAATGGAGCAGAAAATTACAGACGCCTATGGAAAGAATTTTATGATGAAAATGATTTTGAATATGAAAAAGCTGCAAAAATAACAGATAAACAACGATTCCATGATATGGAAGATATTGCTGGCATATTTGACAATCTCATGCTAAAAAAACGCTATACAATTTCCTTTGATACTCTCTTACTAGACAGTAACAGTAGAGCAGCAGCAATCAATAAACAGGCTTACATACATGTAGTTGGAATCGGGCTTGGAGTTTGGAAAGCTGTCGACTATCAGAATAAACTTTTTTTGAAAACATTTTCACAACGCTTAAAGGTGTTGATGCCAAAACTGTCAAATGTTGCTGCAGTACATTTTTCATGGTTCCACTTGGATGAGTTTGAGGACTTGAAAAATAATGGTTTCTTAAAATCGGAAGCTCATCCAAACGGTGGTATTAAAATTTTTCTTTCAGATCGTAATCCTGCTGCAAAATTGGTAACTTTTACTATTATATATAGTTTGAAAGTTTTATTTATTTAAAAATATTTTTATACACATACAGCCCTCCGAATTCGCAAACTCACTTTTGGTGGTATCGTACGCTTGGGATGGTAATGCTTTTCCTGGAAATGAATTTTGGATTGTAATAACTTTGTTTAACTCATATAGATTTTATATTAAAATCAGTGTTAATTTGTTTTAGAAAATGCTAAACAGTACCGGAGATGCTTCAACTGCTTGCAGTACTCTTATCACCGAACTGCACAATCCATTGATTAATTGTGAAATGGTTAATGGAGAAAATCTTCATATTGCATCAGAGGAATTTGGTATTATACATTTGGGAGAATATGCAAAAAAAATTTTAGAGCGAAAGTAAAAATACATATATATATTTTTATAATATAAATTATGTTTAATATAAAAACACCACCTATTTTGATAAAAATATGTAAACAAATTTTTGTGTTTGCTGCACTATTTCAAAACTCTTTATTTGAATAAATACGTACAGAATTAATTAAAATGTGATTAATTTTTATTTTATTATAAAGATTTTAATGGTAATATTCAAGTATAACTAATTAGTGGATGTCCGTTGTAGGACTTTAAATCACTCGAATATGCACACACTGAAGTCTATTAACATTTGAACCATTCCATAAGTTTAACAGGCGACAACATCAATTAATACAGATAATTTAATAGCAATCAAGGGATTATCTTCCCGAAAGTTTTTCCCGAAGATATCTACCGTATTGTCACAACATGCTAAAATGACCAACTGGTTATACAAAATTAGGTAGCACTTTGCTTATTGGAGATTAGCTTATTGGAGAAAACCACAATTAAGTCTTTCTACTAACCCAATACCCTAAGTACCATCACTATTTTTGTTATATATCTATACATATGTCATTTTTTTCTATCTGAAAGAAACTGAAAGTTAAAAGAATAAAAAAAAAACATATAATTATGCTTTCATAACATCACACTTTCTTTCTTACGGATACTTAATGAGAGAATTAAACCCAAAATACTATTGTCACTATTTAAATTTATTTAACTAATATATGGTATCCTCTATAGATCTATGGACATGTACAATTAAATAATTAATTACAATTTTAAAATGATGACATATACGGAACTAAGAATCAAATGGCATTTTTTTTTTATTCTGCAATAAAATTTTTAATAATGTATTTCCTACACTACAAATACTAAATTTTGAGCGAGAGAATCTATATCCAAGATACTGTCTGTATAGGAAACTACACCCCATAGATGAACAAGTGACGCCCACTATTTCTACCAATATATAGGGGTAGTTTCTGTTAAAGCTTTACCTTTTCCACAGATAGTCACGTCCTTGGATGAATTTGAATCTTATGGACAGCCTTAATTAGAATAATCTTCATTAATTAGAAGTCTTCATTAAAAATATTTTATAGACATGAATCATGTAGAAAACGTTGTTTTATTAATAAAAAGAAGTTTTATTTAAATACGATTTATGTTACGCCGTATTTAGTACAGTACCAGCAACCCTTTTCGTGGATTACCCCAATTTCGAAATAATTTATAGTTCACGTTATTTCCTGGAAACCACTTATGAACAATCTCGTACCTTAAGACTTAAAAAGTTAGTATAAGTCCTTGCCCAAAGTACTAGCTAGTCTTAGCTTAACAATACATCAGTATAGCACGTCGTAGCAATATGGTAGACATCTCGACAAAAACTGTCAGGAACTGTCTTAATTGGGCTATTTATATGTGTGCACGTAGAATTAAATTTATAGTTGGCAGTATGAGTATAAATAAAAAAAAGTTTCAAGACGTTAAAAAAAGCTAATAAAAAAAAATTATGGTTTATCTTCATTGTTAGAACAGAAATATCGTATATCGTAAAAATATTGTCTTTTTACATAGAAATCCCGTTGAAAAACTCTGCACAAATTAATGTCCTAATGTCCTAATGTCGTAAATATGTCCTATAAATACGCTATCATTGCAAAAATGTATCTTCAGGAGTTATTGTTTGCAATGACTCTCAAATTTTAAAAGTTAATATATTAACATGGATGGTCTAAAATTATTGTTTTACACAAAAATTATCCTCTCAATATTATATCCACTTTTATATCCAGAAAATGTCTGCGTTGTTGTTGATTTTTCATAAGGAACATATCCAACAACTCTTAAAAGGTATTTTTTTACTTTCAAATTTTAACGACAGATGTATGTCCTGCAGGCTCAAGTGTTTTGGGAACAATTTTATAGCAATCAACACTGGTAATTTTACGAAACTAAATATGTGGTTTTAACGAAATTAAAGTTATATTTAAAAATTATTTATTTATTAATTATAATA